AGGGAGAGAGAGAAGACGGAGAGAGAGAGAGATTGGGAAGAGAGGGGGAGAGATAGAGAGCTCCAATTCCTAATCAAATCACCCCCTACTTGTCCTACCGTCTTACCTATGGTCCTCTCTCTATACCTTGGTTCCTTTGTGCCCCGTAGGCCATGGCCTTTGGTTGGCGAATGGGACGAAGAGGGAAGGGGGTGTGAGGTGGTAGGCTATGGTGGATGGATGGAGGAGATGGATGGAGGGAGATGGTCCGAGGCGGTTGGCTATGGCGGATGGGTGAAGTAGATGGAGGAGGAAAATGGAATGAGGCAATTGGTTATGGTGGACGGGTGAAGGAGAAGGAGGAGGGAGATGGTACGGGGAGGATGGTGCCGGTGGATGGGTGAAGAAGACGGAGGAGGGAGATGGTGTGAGGTAGACGGCCATGGTGGACAGGTGAAGGAGACGAAGGAGAGGGATGGTGCGAGGTGGAGGGCTATGGTGGATGGGTGAAGAAGGTGGAGGAGAGGAATGGGGTGAGGTGATTGGCTATGGTGGACAGGGTGAAGGAGGTGGAGGAGGGACATGGTGTGTGGTGGATGGCTACGGTGGACGGGTGGAGAAGATGGAGGAAAGGGATGGTGCGAGGTGGAGGGCTATGGTGGATGGGGTGAAGAAGATGGAGGAGAGGGATGGTGCGAGGTGGCTATGGTGGATGGGGTGCAGGAGATGGAGGAGGGAGATGGTGCGAGGTGGAGGGCTATGGTGGATGGGAGAAGAAGGTGGAGGAGAGAAATGGGGTCAGGTGGAGGGCTATGGCGGATGGGGTGAAGGAGATGGAGGAGGGAGATGGTGTGAGGSGGRTKGCTATGGTGGATGGGTGAAGAAGATGGAGGAAAGGGATGGTGCGAGGTGGAGGGCTATGGTTGATGGGGTGAAGAAGATGGAGGAGAGGGATGGTGCGAGGTGGAGGGCTATGGTGGATGGGGTGTGAAGGAGATGGAGGAGGGAGATGGTGTGAGGCGGATCGCTATGGTGGGCGGGTGAAGAAGATGGAGATGGGAGATGGGGTGAGGTGCTCGGCTATGGTGGATGGGCGAAGAAGATGGAGGAGAGGGATTGGGTGAGGTGATTGGCTATGGTCGATGGGGAGAAGGAGATGGGAGGAGTGGGTGGTGTGAGATGGAGGGCTATGCGGATGGGCGAGGAAGATGGTGGAGGGTGGTGGTGAGGGGTGCTTGACCCTCCGTCCTACTTCATACGTCCGGCTATGTCCCTTGGTTTCCCTTTGCCCTGGTCTTCAAACCTTCAGATTCTCAGCACTAGTTCTACAACAGACATGCAGAAAGCACAAACTTTGCAGAGAAACACAGATTTCAGAGACAGTTTTTGCAGATCTCCAGATCTGCAAATTTTGCCGCTTTTGCCATTTTTGTCTAAGGAGAAGAGCCGAAAAACACAGTCTTGCATTTCCCAGCCTAAACGAGGTCAGAACCAGTCAAATTTTGGTGGGCTCTCTGTCTGTGCCTTATGGAAGCATTCTATCAAGTTTCGTTGGATTCCATCGTCGTTTGCCCCTACTTGCTGTTTTCGGGCGCCGTCCGAACCCCAAGGCGAACAATTTGGTGAAGTCCATTTTCCGTTTTTTGCAGGGAAATGGGTTCGGATAACCTGCAGGTTCTGCAGGTCATCTGATTATGCCTAGGATATGAGGTCTGAGTAGTCCCAGCCCTCATACCCTTGGTTTGGTGGAACTTGGCCAGAGTGCCCCCTCGCCGACATTGGCTCCTTAGTCCTATTTTCGGACCGGCCCGTGCTCCGGAGGTTGGGCGTTGATTTTTTTCAGCAGTAGCAGCCGCAGCAAGAGACTTAGTCAGTCATCAGGAACAGCAACATTGCAGTAACACACAGCAACAGCAGGCAACAACAGTCCTATCAATGAAACAACGTTTTTCTTGCTTTCTACTTACCACGTTCTGTTATAACACAAGGGGAGTCTCGATGGGGCATGTGCGTGCCAAATCCACTAGTCGAGAGTGAGTCAGACTACCACCGGGCGCATGAGTTTGACAAAGGAAGAGTGTGGTTAGAGAGAACACATGCGTGCGAGTAGTGGAACAGCCTAGTGTGAAACGAAACATTACCAAAGGCATGAACTTGACAAAGTGAGGGTGGAACTAGCGAGGACACATGCACATGAGTAGTGGAACAACCAAGTGAGAATGGGAACATTACCAAAGGCATGAACTTTGACA